TCGAAATTCCCAGAGATCGACGTCTTTGGAGACGTTTATGTTCGACCTGGGAATGAGTTGGCCGAGTCCCTTCATGTAAGTATTATTTGATTTTAATTATTATGTTACACTTTCAATTTATATGCATTTTTTTATTTATATTTTATGTAATGTTAAATAGACGACGATGGTGGAGAGGAGCCAGTTGGTTCTTCAAGAGTCTGCCTCCCAACTTCCTCCCGAGACTCCGATCGAGTCTGTGGATCCTCCACAGGATGCTGAATTTCAGATCTAGACGCAGACGTTGGATCAAACTCTCGGGAGGAGGCCGAGAACATATTGTCAGGGGATAGGGAATGCCCGACAGAGGGAACCTCGACCGCCGTCATCGTCGCAGGCAAACAGTCAGGTGACTGTTTTGACATCGCGGGTTGCCGAGCTTGAGGGTCAGATGTCGGTGATTCTGCCGTCCCTCGCGCGGTCCGGCATTCCAATCCCGAATTTTGGTGCTTCGACCTCCGAGCCCGTACACCCCGAGCATCCCTAGCAGACCACGGCCCCTGCAGACGCCCAGACCTCCGAGCTGCATGTGGCAGATGACCAAGTAGATTTTGGAACATTATTTGATACTTTTAAAATATTTCTCTTGTATACATTTATTTTATTTTATATAATAAATGTTTTCTTTACGATTAATCTTTTTATTACAATTTCATTTTAATTAAAAAAAAACCAAAATTATTTTTTTTACAAAATTAAAAAACAAATAATATTAATTTTCATGTTATATAATATATATTACTTTTGCGTGACGAAGTGTATATCGTCGCGCAAAATCATTTTAAAAAAAAACCCGTTGAAAAATATATTTTTAATACACTTCATTTAATCATGCGCGACGAATATTTTCGTTGCGCGAAATGTGTATGCGCGACGAACGGTTTCGTCGCGCGAAATGTGTATGCGCGACGAATAATTTCGTCGCGCAAAATTCGTATTATTAGTCGCGCAAAATTCGTATGCGCGACGACTCTTTCGTCGTGCAAAGACTAATTGCGCGACGAAGCTTTTTTCGTCGCTTAAAGTTCACGTATCTCACGCGATGAAAGTCTCCGCCGCGCATTCTTGGTGTGACGAACAACCTTTCGTCGCGCAAAAGTTTGTGCCTCGGACATTTGGGTCGTACCGAAATGTTTTTTGTAACGAAGGTACTATACGTCGCACTGTTTGCGCGACGAATGTTATGCAGGCGTCGCGCAAAGTCTTTGTTCACGATCTTTGCGCGACGGATTGTGCGCGACGAAACTTCTGTCGCGCATAATTATGTGCGACTAAAATCATCTTTGCGCGACGAATATTCCTTCGTCGCGCAAATCCTAAAATGTTGTAGTGCACTTTGGTAATATTTAATTTTGGCATCAAACTGAGTAGTTATCAACATATAATTTGACAAAAATATCAAACACATCTCATTTAATGATCATTGGATAAAGCTACATTTAACCAGTGCCTTCATCTACAAAAGTCACATAGCATCTGTAACCCAAATGAACAGTAATCAAAGCAGGCCCCAATACATCACTATGCAATATCTTGAAAGGAATACGTGCTTTATCATGCCTATTAGAAAATGGCAATTTATGCACATTGCCATGTAAACAGGAACAACAAAGACTTCTAGAAGAATCATCAAGAACATACAAGGCAGAGGCAGTAAGTATACTCTTTACAACTTCATTGGTTGGATGTCCTAACCTCTTATGCCACAGTGATGATTTCATTTGCTAACCAACATAAGCATCTTTATTAGCAGTAAGATGACAAGTACACAGTTAACCGACAACATAGCTAACTAACAACTCTTTAACAATATTTAACACTAGCTGTCATTATCAATATCATAATTGCTTCAAGTTTAAACTAACTGCATATTCAAGTTGCAGAAAGATTGAAATTTGAAACCCTCACTCCCTCTTTCTCTGAAACTCCCAACTGCAAGGACTGAGAAGCATCACTGGTCTTTCTTCCTTATACTGTAAGATTTTATTTATCTCAATTTTGTAGAATTATTTATATTATGTGAACAGAGCATTGAACTTTATGCTGTGAAGAGAACGAGAAGATTGATGCTTTGGTTTCTCGGGCAGAAGGAAAAGAAAGAAGAAAAAGGAAGAAGAGGAGGAAGAAAGAAGAATCCAACCCAACCTAACCTTCTTCGCCAAGGATCACCTCGCGCAGCACCAACCACCAGGTCCAGCAACTCCAGCTACTCCAGCTTCTTATTTTTAAAATTTGTTTTGTTTTTCGTTTTTTCCAGATTTTTCCTTTTTCTTTAAATTTTTTTATTCTTGGGGAAACGGGTTATATTTTTAGCCCGTTGGTTGTATCAAATGGGTTTACAAGATACGACGTGAAAAGGAAATAAACGCCCACCAAACTCCTTGACCCGCAAACACGACCCGTGTGCTGTCTAAAAAACAAAGGAAATAAACGCCCACCAAACTCCTTCTTGACCCGCAAACACGACCCGTTTGCCAGGTCTCAACAGCTAAAAAAGAGAGGAAATAAACGCCCACCAAACTCCTCCTCGACGCCTGCAAAGACCCTCTCGGACCAAAAGGAGCGTCTCTGCTTGTTTCAGACCCTCACTCACAGAAGCAATGGATTCTATTCAAAACATTTTGGTAAGCAACTCTTCTTAACAATTACTAAAAACCTACCTTATGGAAAATTTGATTGAAACTTTCTGAATCCCAGTATTTTCTCTCAGCACAAAAGGAAGATAGAAAACTTGAAAGAAAGCAGAATAATTTTGATAATCTAGTTTGTGTTACAATTTCTTATGTTAGTCTCTCTGTCTGATTGGCTGCCAAGAAAATTAGTACGAAATGATAAGCTTCTAGATAAGCTTCTAAATTGTCAGATTGTTACGTATTTTCCTGCATTGTTGTGTTAACCAACCAAATAGATATACTTGAACTTTGTTAGATCAGATTCAGAGCAATTGTACCTGCCCTAGTGTGAATGTTGTCTCATTTCTACATTTTTTTTTTTTGGGTGGGAATTTCAGCTTGCTTCTTCTGGTGGCCTTCAAGTGGGAAGTAAAGGAGTGAGGAGGAGTTCAACCCTAATTTGTGCTCCAATAATGGCAGAATCAGTTGATAAGATGTTGATTGATATGGGCAAGGCAAAAGCCCTTGGCGCTGACCTTTTGGAGATTAGATTGGATCATTTGAAGGCCTTCAATGACAATGTTGATCTCAAGACCCTTATTAAAGAATCCCCTTTGCCCACTCTTTTCACATATAGGTATTTTACCGAAGATTTCTTATATGATCGAGCTTGTTTTATGATAGGTGCTTTTCAAATTTGTTGTTGTAGTAGTATTAGCGTGTTAGGGATTTGAATTGGTTCTATTGGGTGGATTCAAGTAGTGCACCAGAACCAAAGAATTGTTAAAATACAACAAGTTATAAACTCATTATGATCAAGAAGTGTGAAAGTGAAGCAAAGATAAGTTCGGTTCAAAATTAGTTGGAAAAACTGGTCAGTAATGGGTGTTTCGTGTTTAATTAG